TAGTTACATTATTATTTAAGGAGCGGAAAGTGTATTGTTCGAGATCAATAATAGTGTTGATTTCGTCCATCATATCTTTATAATTGTCGACGCCGTAAATAAAAATCGGTGGAGGTCTCTGGTTGGTTGTTGAGAAATCATTATTATTGGTAGTATTGATAATAGTGCTTGGCAACTGATTTATGCTATTTAGCGGTTCGAATCTATTTGACAGAGTAACCGGAGTGCTATTAGTATCATCAGATAATTTACGCTTCTTACTTTGTACAATTTTTTTTGTTGTAACAAGTTGCCACGAATGTCTCGGATTAGTTGTACAAATATTTTCCGTATTGTATGTTTGAACCTTAGTTAATTGTTTGGGCATATTTTGATTTTGACTACATACCAGCTTTGAAGCAGTCACTGCAGGGTCTTGTGAATTGCATTGAATAGCTTGTTCAATATTGGCTACTTGCATCAGATCGACGTCCATATTGGTATTTGATGTTGAAATATGCTTATTAGCAGACGAAAGTTCTGTTTCCTTCAGACGCAATTGTTCATTGACATATTCAGAACATGTTAGTGAATCGTCGTAAAGCACGTTATATGTTTCCGTAATAGAAAATTTGTCCATAGTGTCCCCCGCAGGGTGACACTTCTCTAAGTTGTGTAAAGTTAGCACAGTGATTTGTCAAAAATTATTTACACAAAAACACTGATTAATCACACTGAAACTAAGTATAAGATCAGACACTCACAGCGCGTGTTTGATTTGCCATAAAATCAATTTTTAGTATTTATTATGGTTTAAATCCGCCAAAAAAATTACTTTAAATAAACTAGGCGAAAAATCAAATGACAGAAACAAATGACATGTTATGAATCCAAAACTTTTGAACTTGACAGCTAAGTTTTTTCGGCGGCAACTTCATGCTGGCTGAAACGTGATGTGTTATAAATAGGCATGATTGAGTTGGCAAATGACAGCGAATTGAAGAAGCAAAGATTTATTTTGTTTTTGAGAGTTAAAGCGAGTCCACGAGATTCCGTAACCTATTTACTTATTAGAATTTTGTGCATACAAGCCGGAGTTTTTGTAAGTAACTATATACTTTAGATATTTGTGCCTATTTGTATCAGAATTCTGATAAAGATATCTTTCCACAAAATATTGAATTATCGGAATTTATAAGTTTGTTTGTATTACAAATAAAGTTGTTTATTTATTATTAAAGTTATTCACTGTGTCTAGTAAGTTTGAAAATATCAATAAATGCGTCATTCCTACTGCTAGAACAAGTGAAACGTGGGGTCAAAAGCACTTAAATAAATTAAATATGGCGAAAATTGACCACAATGTTATTCTGACTGTAGACTCCCTTATTGCAAATTTGGTCAAGCATCCCGTTTGGGCCAAATTTCAACAATTTCATGCCGCCAATTACGGCATTGAAGGCGATAAAGTGGAAAATGTTCTATATCGTATAAAAGTTCTAAACTTTTTACAGAAAACATAACATTACATTTATGTTGCAGTCATTTCACAAAGAGACTTAAAGAAAGATCAGGAAATAATATCTGTAGCTGTAAGCTCAATTATTTTTCTTTCAGTGGCGGATCCAGGGGGGGGGGGTCACGGGGGTCATGACCCCCCTGAGCTAGTTACAAGATTTAGGTAAACCGCCAAATATAACAAGCCGAAAACCTTTTTCTCATTCTACACTTGTCGGCACTATTGTCATAAAGAAAAAATCCGAGTACATTATTAGTCGATATTAATTAGTACTTAGTATAATGTATTTAGTTTATAAACAAATCATAATTAGATATCAACACATCACAAAGACTTATAGAAAATTATTATACTTTGTGATTGTCTAATAAATAAATAAAATAATTGTATATGAACGATTTCTAAGAATCTGCAACGTACGCATAAGAAAGAAATCATTCACCAGCAGGCCCAATGTTATCATTGATTATAAAACTATTTATCACTCGATGACTGACTTGTAAATTTTCGTTATAATAAAATAATGAACGAATACGAATGATGAATAGGAAGATATACAATATAGGGTATTATAGCGTGTCGATTGTATATATTATATATTTTGTTTAAAATATCATTGATAACGAATTAGATATGAGGACAATGCACGTGGACGACTAATAATTTTTATAAATGGGTTTCATTCATTAGGCCGTATATAACATATAAATAATAGCCTCGGAAAAATCAATTAGATCTGAACTGTCGACTAACCAACGTCTAAAATCTTTAATAAATTATAATCAGAGCGCAAAATAAAATATATTTCAGAAATAATTAAAATAAAGTGCAACAAACTGAGTGTAGTGAGTTATAAAAAAAGTGTTATAAAAATAGTGTTTCTTAGTTTATGTGTTTTGTATTGAAATATTATTATGGTAAGTTACTTCATATGTTACTTTATATTTACTTTTTTACTTTTTTCCTTTATACTTTTTAGCATTGATCTCTATTTTTTACATTCATTACTTTAATTCTTTATAACTTCCAAATTACTTTTAACTTTCGATATTCATTACATCTTAGTATTATTATTTTAATTGTTATCTGGAATATTTTATTTTTTATTCATATTGTGTTAATTTCCCGAAAAAGAAGTTTGTTTTCACCAGAAAATCCGATTTGCTAATTTTATATTTCTCGACGTTTCAAGTCATTGTGAGTGGAGTGAAACCAAACTTAACTAGTTGGTATTGGTATTTTGCCATAAGGCAAGTTACATGAACTTCCCGATATGTGTATAATCGACTTAATCCATGATAAATAAATTCATTTATGAGTAGTTCAAAGTATTCGAAGTGGATTTGTTACACATTATTAAAAACCCAGTAGGAGTATTTTCTGAAACCAAATTTTCAAAATTTGCATTATTTTGCCGTAACAGGCTTTAGTATGTTTATTAAGACCAGATACTTTATCGCTATACCAAGTAAATCATCTAATTTTAATTTTAATAGAAATCAAAAAAACTTCTCATTTTAAAAATAAACTACTTGTCGTAACACCGTAATATTTTAGTAAGTTGTATAAGACCATGATATATATCATCAAAAAAAGTTTCATAAAAATCGACTCAGTTTTTTTTTCAACTATGAATTACAAGAAAACGGCTCGGTAGATTTTCACCTAAAATTTATCAGTATCATTCCCAACTAATATCTTTCGAACAGTTTTTGATTTTTTTAAATCGATTCGGTAGTATGAGCTTAAATGTAGACGAAAAGTTTAACACTTTATTCCAAATTATAAAGAAACGGCTTGGCCGATCGTCGCACAAAACTGATAAACGATAGTCCTCATCGAGATACTTCAAATGGTTTTTAAATTTCTGAAATCGGTTCAGGCGTTTTTGAGAAAACGTCGATGAAAGGTGTATTTTTGACAAATGCCAAAAAACGATATTAATTTTTGCAAACTTTGACGAATTTTTTTAAGCTAAATGAGTTGTCGTAGGGCCGTAACATTTTAGTATGATCTAGAAGGCTATTGTATTTACCGTCAAAAAATAATAATAAAAATCGTCGAAAAAAATTTTTTCAACACTTTATTACAAAAAAAAACGGCCCGGCCGATCTCTACCAAAAACTCATCAGCGCGATTCCCAACTAATATCTTTCGAACGCTTTTTGAATTTTCAAAATCGATTCAGAACTGCGGGCTAAAAATTGGACGATTTTTTTCACTTTTCTGCTATTCACAAAGAAACGGTTTGGCTGATCGTACCGCAAACTTGAAAAACGCTAGTCCTAATCGCGATACATCGAAGGGCTTATGAATTTTTGATATCGGTCCAGCCGTTTTTGAGAAAATATCGATTTGCGGCAAAAATCTGTTTACATACAAACACACACGCATACCTTTTCTAAACTTGGTCTCATTCGATTTAGAATGACTTGAAACGTCGAGATTTCAAGCGATTACTAAAATTAGCGAATCGGATATTTTGATGAATACATAAACTTCTCCCTCGGGAAGTTAAAAAAATATGAACTTGGAGCTGCCATGTATATGTGTATGTCAACAGAATTTTTATTTTTCGTCGACGAAACGTTTCTCAAAAACGGCTGAACCGATTTCAAAAACTTAAAAGCCATTTGATATATCTTGATAAAGACTAGCATCGACTATTTTTTATCGTTCGTCAGAAACTGCTCGAAAAATATTGGGCCGAGCCGTTTCTTCGTAAAAAAAATTCAAAATTGTTTTTTGACATCTTTCTTTTTTTAACTTTTTATAACAAAAGATATCATACACTGAATAATATACTTAAATATTATGGGCTTACAATAATCCGTTAAATTATAAATAAATCATCAATGTTTAGAATTTAATGGCGCACACAAGCGATTCATTCATTACAAAAATCACTTTTTCATTATTCCTGTGTATTTTATTTTTTATGTATCTTTAATTATTTTGACATTAAGGGAGATAGAAAAACATTTTGCTTAATAATAAAAATATTCGCATGGTTTTGCTTGCAGGCTGATTCTAAGGGAAAAGTGGAAAGTGGATTGAAACGCTCGTTGAATAAAATAGATTCATATTTCTCAAAGAAACCGAGACTCGAGATCGCTCGAGATTCACCTACAACTTCAGGTGAAAATAACTGCTTCGCCGATGCTTCTGCTTCTGCAGATGCATTGCAATGTAGGGCATTATCAATTGATGAAGAAACTCCAACACTTTCGGAACCAATGTTTGCTGCGGATATTGGTTGTTATACAGGAAAAATCGTTAGTGATTCGATGAAAGCTGTGTTGCTTGAAAAACATTGGCAGCCTCCCTCTAATTATACTTTTCCGCATTGTATTGTAAATAAAATGGGAAAACAGACAAAAAAATATGCACAAAAATCTCACCTCGAAAAATTTCAATGGCTGGTTTTGTCGCATAAAGACCAGGGTCTTTATTGCAAGGTGTTCAGACAAAAACACCTTTGCGTCGATTTGTAAGGGAACCAATGAAAGCTTTTGATGATTTGCTAGGTGAAAATGGTGCTCTGCTAACACACCAGCGAAATAAATACCATCAATCAGCTGTCGAAGCCGGGAAGAACTTTTTATTAAATTTCCACAAACCGGAAATGAACATAACAAACCAACTAGACAACCAAAAACTAAAGCAAATTAATGAAAACAGAGAACGATTAAGGCCAACGAGGCATGCAATTTTTAAGTTAGAACTTGGAGCTGCCATGCAAGGTATTTGTGAAACACGCTGGGTAGAAAGGCATGATGGGCATCTTCAGTTTCAAGGGGACAACTTAATCAAAATTTGTAGCGCTCTGGAGAAGATTTCTGCTTGGCAAGATAATAAAACTGCCAATGATGCACATTGCTTGCTGCAAACATTACGCAGTTCTGACTTTATAATATCTTCCATCTGCTTAAGTGATGTATTAGGTGGGTGTATAATTTATTATTTTTACAAATTCATTAGTTAGTTTATGCACTACAGTAACTATAACTTATTTTTTTTCAGGTACTACTGTATCTTTAAGCAGAATTCTGCAATCGAGCTCGATTGATTTGAAAAAAGCTACAGATGCTTTTAATGACACATTAAGGGTTCTGAGAAATAAAAGAGAAAATGTGGACGAAATCTTCCAACAGCTGTTTGAAGAAGCTAAAGAAGTAGCTGAGCAGTTAGATATAGATATTAAATGTCCGAGATTAGTACCAAAACAGATACATAGAGCCAATAATCAATCTGCTCAGTCTGCTGGAGATTATTTCCGCCGAGCTGTTTATATTCCTCTTTTAGATTCAATAATCAGCGATCTCCAGGACCGCTTGTCTCCTGATGTACTTAATTTATTTAAGCTGAATGTTTTTATGCCAAAAACCGAACATAACAATAAAGACATTGAAGCTGTAAGACAACTAGCTAACGACCATAAACTGTTACTAGATAACACTCCAGTGTCTATTATTGTAAATGAATATAGGCTGTGGATGGTGAAGTGGCAGTCCTGGCAGCAAACTCAGGATACACCGCAATCAATATCTGAGGTTATTACAAATTGTGACATTGATATGTATCCTAACATAAGAAAATTCCTACAAATTATAGCTACACTACCTGTCAGTGTGGCTACAGCAGAAAGGTCTTTCTCTACGTTGCGTAGAATAAAAACATGGATAAGATCTTCAATGGCGGAAGATCGTTTGACAGGACTGGCACTTCTCCATGTACATAAAAATATAGCGATTGACGTCGATGATGTAATAACGCGTTTTGGGAGAAGACACAAAAGAAAAATTAATTTTGTAATTTGAAAATGTGTATTTTGCTTATTTTTTAAATTATTAAGTATGTTTTGTAGTTATTATATATAGTAAAATTGTTTTTTCGTAATAATTATATATTTGAATGTTAAGAGGACTCAGTTATTATTATACATTTTATTTTTTATATGTATTTATATATTTATTTTTATTATATATGTTATGTAGCGATTTTCAGATGTAGAGTACTTATTTACATTAATAAAATACCTAAATTCAATTTGAAATAATTACAACCATTTGATCACGTGACCTTTATTTGAACTAAGCGACCCCCCCTGGCGCCAAAGCTGGATCCGCCACAGTTTTCTTTTAGGTGAAAGATGTAGAGATTTAAACCATGCTCGAAAAATGTTCACTCATATTGTGTGGATTTTAGTTAGCAAGTATTATAATGTACAAATAGATTTAGCGATCAAGGAAATAAATTTATTTGAAAATAATGACTCAGTATCAAACAAGACAATCTTGACTGATACTGATGTTTCAGAAATAGCAAATGATTGTGAGCCATGTGAGATCTTGTACGAAATTGTCTATTTTATAAAGATTTCCTTCGAATTAAATGCGAAACCGAAAAGATTATACCGAAAGAAGGATTTATTAATCGTTTTTTCCTCCCAGGTTTCTTAAATTATGTAGTGGACAGGTATATTCCAATTATACCTTTGTGGTCAGGTCTAATGTTAGATAATGACAGAAAACATTTGTATTCAAATGCTGCTGTCGAATCATTTTTCAATACATTAAAGAACAATATCTGCCATCGTAATAAATACGTGAAAGCAGAACATTTCGTGGAGAAATTGAGAGGTATGTTGCGCCTTGCCAATAATGATTTAATAAATAAATGTCCTGTAACACAGAAACTTAATCCTGAAAAAAGCAACAAAAGTTACAATAGAAAAAAAAGAAGAAATGCAAGTCAGGAGAAGTTAGGCATGGTAAACAATATTAAAAGTAGTTGGTTTGGTATTTAGCCTTGAAGCAAGTTACATGAACTTGCCGATATGTTTAAATAATCGACTTAATCAATAAAAAATAAATTAATTTATGAGTCATTAAAAGTATTCCGAGTGGATTTATTACACATAATTGAAACGAACGAACACTTTGACTCCGAGTATTTTCTAAAATTCTCTTATCCCTTTCTATGATATGCACTCATACACAAAACATTTGTGAATCATTCCATTGCTCGCATGTCAATGACATATGCATCAACAATTTTCAAAATAGAAAACAATAGAATGGTGGGCTTTGTGCGTTTAACTTGTTTTCAAATGCTTGTAGCATACAGTGTTTTATCTGGCAAAAGATTTGGCAATATATAATATACAGTATTATATAAAATATATGATATTTTCTCACTAACAGTTTAAATCATTTCAAATATGACGAAAGCAGCCGCAGATAAGCAGGAGGAAGAAAAAATAAGCAGAGACATCAGCCAATTGAGCCTGTCGTCCACATCGAGCCAAGAGCAAAGTTATAAGTGCTATAACCATGCTGAGAACAGTCTTATCAAAATGCAAGCATACTTAAATAATGGACAACTGTGTGATATCACATTAGTTGCTGGCAATGATGGGACAAAAGTGTCCGCCCATCGGCTTGTTCTCTCAGCATGCAGTGAGTACTTCTCTGTCATGTTTACAGGTAACCTTAAGGAAGCAAATCAGAATGAAATTCAGCTATGCTCTGTCGATGGGGATGCCCTACAAAATCTCGTGCAGTATTGTTACACGGGTTCTATCGAGCTACGAGAAGATAACGTGGAGACGTTACTTGCAACAGCATGTTTGTTGCAACTTAATGATGTCATTGAAGCATGCTGCACATTTCTTGCAAAACAATTGCACCCTTCTAATTGCTTAGGAATTGCTTTGTTTGCGGAACAACAATCTTGCCCAACCCTGCTTAAGAAGTCTATAAGTTACGTTCATGAAAACTTCATGCAAGTATGGAGAGATGAAGAGTTTTTGCGGTTATCAGATACTCAGTTATCAGCATTGCTCAGAAGTGATGATCTAAATGTTAATTCAGAACAGGAAGTTTTTCTAGCACTCATGGAATGGGTGAATGAAGATAAAGCCAATAGAGAAAAACATCTTCCACGCTTGTTAGAGTTTATTCATCTTTCATTGCTTTCACCAACATTCTTAGTTGATCAAGTAGATGTTTTGTGTGGTAACATATTGGAGTGTCAGAGACTTGTAGTGAATGCACTGAAATGGCATTTATTGCCCGAGAGGCGACCTTATCTTGCTAACAATTGGTCAAGGGCCAAAAAAGCTACTCTTGGTAAAGTAATCGTATTAGGTGGTGTTGATGCCACCAGAGAAGCTACTCCCATGGAATTATATTGTCCGTGGAGTGACAAATGGTCTTCCTTTGGTCTTATGAGTGGTCGAAAATTGCAGTTCGGATCTGTGATCATTAAAGATAAACTCATGGTTGTTGGAGGTAGAGATGGATTAAAAACACTGAATACAGTGGAATGTTTAGATTTAGTTAGCAAGACTTGGAGCATGCTACCTCCGATGAGCACACATAGACACGGACTAGGTGTTGCAATCTTAGAAGGACCTTTATACGCAAGTGGAGGTCATGATGGTTGGTCATACTTGAACACTGTGGAACGTTGGGATCCAATTGCTCCCACATAGTCCTACGTTGTACACATGATATGTCAGAGAAATTCTCCTGGTGTAGCTGTGTTGAATGGAAAATTATACGCTGTTGGCGGTCATGATGGCGGTGGTTGTTTAAGTACAGTAGAGTGCTATGATCCACATACTAATAAGTGGAAAATGTGTGCTTCTATGAGCATCAGAAGAGGTGGAGTTGCAGTGGGAGCTGTTAATGGCTTCCTCTATGCACTTGGAGGTCATGATGCGCCAGCATCTAATCCCAGTGCAAGTAGATATGACCTAGTAGAGATATGATCCAGTCTCAAACATCTGGACTCCTATGGCTTCTTTGACTTGCTGCCGTGATGCAATTGGCGTCTGTGTGTTTGGGGATAGATTATTGGCAGTTGGTGGTTTTGATGGATCTAAATACCTAACTGCAGCCGAGGAATACAATCCTCAAACCAATGAATGGAAGCAAGTATGTGATATGCTAGTGGGCCGTGCAGGTAGAAGTGTTGTAGTTATGTCTAATTCATCGTTTCCCAACACTATGATTTCAGAAATCATAAAGAAGACAGCTCCACCTTCCACAACTGCTAATGCTAAATAAGGAATCCCTTGATAACTTTTTGAATACATCAAAGTACCATTACAGGATTAGTTCTCTCCTATATATTTAAATAATAGATGCACGTAATTTCAAGTCTACATTTTTAATGGTAACCAAAGCCATTACACTGCCAAACAGCATTCCGAAGCATGGTAAATGTGATATAAAGTTGTATAATGTGGTTTAACATAATGTAAATTATAATACATTATTTACTCAAACAATTGTTAATAATGTAAACTAATAGTCTAATTTTTATTAATTTAGAAGACTTAAAACTCTTAGATAAACTTAGCAATATCAAATTTCATTATACATTGAAATGACTAAAATGATATATATATATATATATATATATATATATATATATATTAGGGTGGTCCTTAAAATGGTCATTTTCGAATTTCCTTGCTCCCAGGGGCTCAAATGGTTCCAAATAGATAAAATTCAATCAAAGTTTTGTATGGAAATAGCATGGAAAAATTTAAAAAAAATTTAAAAATGTGTTTTAGATGGAATTTAGCGAACAAATGAATGAATAAAACTCATTCATTTGTCGCTAAGTTATACCTAAAACATTTTTTTTAAATTTTCAAAAATTTTCCATGCTCTTTCCATACAAACTTTGATTGAATTGCGCTCTGTCTAAACGTTAATATTAAGAGCTAAAACTTTCAGAGAATTGTTTTTTATCAATTTGGAAACACTTGGAAACATATATATATATATATATATATATATATATATATATATATATCTTGATAGTTTTTTCGACGTTGAAACATATTTCAAAGTAACTGGCAGCCCATTCGTCGAAATAAAAAAGGTATAAAGTATAAAAACTTTTATTTATACGTTTCGACACAAGATGCGTGTCATCATTCAGCAACTACAACAATTTGAAAATTTTATTAACTAATATAAATAACAATAAAAATTAATTATAGCATAGAGAAACATTATACACACCACAGGACAAAAACACTCAACAAAAATTTATTTTAAAAAATTAAACTTAATAACATATTAGAAAAAACATTTTTTAGAAAAAAATTATGTATAACTAAAAGATTTGAAAACTAATTTTACTAAAAGTTATGAAATACATCATTGTGAAGCTAGAAGCACGCCCATACCGAGCATCTAGACTCGACTGAATTATTTCAATAGGCGTTTCTTTAGTTTTGATAATACTTTTAATTGCCTTTTTTCGATTCTTAAGTCTGGAACCCCGTCTGATAGGGTCACCGATTCTGTTTACAGGTTGGATTGCAATGATTGCAATATGTGTTATATTGGAGAAAGTTCCCAATATATTTATAAGAGAGTTAATCAACATATTTATAATTCAAAAAATCCAAACCAATTCAAAACGATGTTTTCCGATCATATGCTCAATCTCAATCACACTTTTAACACTTCACATCCTGTTATTCTTTACATCGAAAAAAATAGTGACCTTAGAAAATTTGCTGAATCCTTTTTTATTTCATTAAATTCCTCCTCTTGTGTTAACAAACGCAATTCATCCCACCTTTTACATGATAGTTACCAGATAGTTATTGATTTTATTAAAAAAACAAAAAATTAATTTTCTTATTTCTTTTAGATTATTTTTTTTACAATTTTGTTTTTTTGTTTTAACTTTTACTTGGTTTGCTTTTTCCTTTTGATCAATCCCAGCTCAACCTCTGTATTCGATGCGTTCTCTTGCAGCGTAGAATTTGTCCTTGATGCGTCCCCTCCCATTCCTATCAACACGCCTATTGAAATAATTCAGTCGAGTCTAGATGCTCGGTATGGGCGTGCTTCTAGCTTCACAATGATGTATTTCATAACTTTTAGTAAAATTAGTTTTCAAATCTTTTAGTTATACATAATTTTTTTCTAAAAAATGTTTTTTCTAATATGTTATTAAGTTTAATTTTTTAAAATAAATTTTTGTTGAGTGTTTTTGTCCTGTGGTGTGTATAATGTTTCTCTATGCTATAATTAATTTTTATTGTTATTTATATTAGTTAATAAAATTTTCAAATTGTTGTAGTTGCTGAATGATGACACGCATCTTGTGTCGAAACGTATAAATAAAAGTTATTATACTTTATACCTTTTTTATTTCGACGAATGGGCTGCCAGTTACTTTGAAATATATATATATATATATATATATATATGATTGATTTTTTGAAGGGCGTAACATCAAGTAAAAAATAAGTAAGGTAAAGATTTTTTTAAAACATCTTTATTTTTCCATACGTTTCGACGTAAAATTCTACGTCATCGTCAGTGTTTCTACAATTTAAAAAAAGAAAGTAACGTTACAAATTGAATATACATAAGCAATAGTAAGTTTCTAGTAGTCTTCTAAAAGCAAATTTTATATAATT